GGTTAGTGTCACTTGTTCCTGCACACCATGATGAACCTGATGTGAAGTTCAGTCTACCATTCTTTGCTGGTGTGCTGACACTTTGTACTGAAGAAGCAGTTATTTTACTATCTGGAATAGTTCTACTTCCCATTCCAAGATCTAAATCAACACAGGCTCCTACAGAAATAAAATTTACATTTGCACTATAACACAGTTATAATAATCATAGCAACATTCAAGAATGGTTGGATGTGAGAGACATATGCATGTCTTGAATCTCTCTTTAAGGTATGTCTCATACAAAATCCATGTCACAAATAGGGACAATTAGAGCTGGTCTGCCTCTAAAAATATTTATCAATTTGATTACAAATTTGGAGGAAATCTAAATCTGATCATTAAAACTGCAAATGGAAACACATCGGGTCTCATTTTTGACGGTGGAGCAAGGAGAAGTTGACTTTCAGTGTAAATTTACAATTTTGGGAGCGCAAGGTAGATATGTATTAGACTGGTCCAAATTCAAAGCTTTCAGTAGATAGGAAAAGTGAAATAAATTTCAAGAATGCTTTAACCTAAAATTGATGCAGATGTTACCACTCAATTTATTCGTTGAAACAGGAATTGAGCTTGATGTAAAAACAGGTAGATTTTTAACCGTACTATTCTTTTAAGATGACATTTTAATTACGAAAAAACAACGAATCCCGAGGGACCCTCGTTTCTTTCTGATATTGATTATGTTCGCAATGAGGATTAACCTGTGACGTACGGCTACACTACTCACGACTGAAAGAAATCTCCCACAAAAGTACCCTGAATGTAAATTTTAACATAAAATAAACCTTTCTAATTGATTTAAGATTGTATGGTACTCACCTGAAGTCAGTGGAAAAAGTACAGCGAGAAAAGCTACCCGGAAACAATGATTAAAGTGCGCCATCTCGATTGAGTCAGTCACGGTATGCGTGTATCACGATCGTTTTGCTTGACCGGTCTTCTGTAAACGAAAGTTCATCCGAAAAAAGATTGTCTCCTCACTATTTAAACTTGGCTTTGTATGATTTGTAGAAATATCGTCCGCGGTTTCAGAAAAACAATCAGTCTCTTCGTAGGCCGAGTAGTTTCGTTTGATAACAAGATGACATAAGCCTGAAGTTGTTGATATTTCCCACAATGCCGTGGGCTTCAGCTCATAATTCATCATATTTCAGCTGATTTCAGTACGTAACAGCTTATAAGTTAACATTTAACCACCTTCTCAGAGATGAGAAGTAAGTAAGTTTACATTCTCAGATCTTCTCATACCCATGTACATAGGAAAAGGCAGAAGAACTCAAAAACGACTTCATTATCGACAGACATAAAAATTACGTCGAATTCCCTAACTACGCCCGCTGACTCGCTTTTTAGTACACAGAAAAGTTTTTTAAGAATACGAACGAAAAGTAAACAACAGCCAATAATATGCCTAGTAAACCTCTCTACCACCCTATGACATCACACAAAATCACCCAGGGTGGGAAGGTGGGTGGGAAGAAAAACGAAACAGTACAATACAAAATCTCTGGTGTACGCTCGAAGTGAAAACTGACGCGATATGAAACACGAAACTCTTAGGCCTAGTTCAAACGTCGATCTTTACATGTACCGAACCTAATTGCAATTTGGGTCGACTCGAATAATTAAGAGCGGCAGTTGATTCAAACGTCTATACAAATCTGCCGATCCTAATTGATTCAAACGTCGATCTTTACATGTACTTAATAGAAACGTTAGGTTCGGTACATGTAAAGATCGACGTTTGAACTAGGCCTTAGAGCCTGATACTAGAGGGTGTGTGTTGCGCAATTAATCCCTTTGAACACGTGCTCGTCCACAGGGGGGTAACAGACGAGACGCTCCACTATGGCAGGGTCAGCTATTGTTTAAGACATAAATTCTTGAAGTTTTAGTGTTTCCCGCACGCCATTACTTTCTTCAAACAAATCCTAAAAATAAGAAGTAAAACGAGCTTAGTGACAAGGATGGAGAAAGAACAATTGTCTTTTCTGCAAGAGCTGCTGAAAAATCTTATTTCGATTAGATTTCTCGAAGAGAGTTTTACAGTTAGCGTTTTCGAGAAACCTTACCAGAGTATTAAATGCAGCAATAATCAGACAAACTCCACGATAGGTCACAACCTTCAAACTCGCTTTTATACGTCAATAGAGTTGCTAACCATCAATTATTCAGAACAAGGGTATAATTAATGTTCTTTTGTGACAGTACTTAGCAAGCAGAGGTCAATAGTACTAAGACAAGAGAAAAACTGTGTCTAGTAATATCGAAAAGGTTCAAGGATAGGTCACGGTAGAGTCCTTCGATTGTAGCGGTGCTGCTAGCGCTAACCGCTCGTGCAAATTCCCATGGATCTCTACCAAAATAGTGAACCTCATCAAATGTAGAAAATAAGGGCTATGACTGGATGATATTGCATCCAAACTATTAACGGTATTTGGCGACGAGCTGCGTAGCAGGCAAAACGTGTGGCCAGTAGAAGTGCGACGGTGAATATTTTCAGCAACCGAACCCTGGCTAAGACTGAATATTAAATGGGCGCATTTTGTGTCGCATGTCTGGTTTTCGACTAAAAATACTTAACAATTGGATAAAAAAGACATAACATACCAAGGTCAGGCACATCTTTTTGTGAAAACACTTTATTCCATTAGCTACAACTATTCTGTTGCTCAAGTTCTGTGCATTTTAAATGCTTACTAAAATGCTTCGGAAAAACTTCTCCAAGCATTTTCTTCAATCAGTAAATACTCTATAAGTTAAAAATATCTGATGGAGCAAAAATATTGTACTATCTTCCATTCTCTTATCTACCAACACCTAGCAATAATACTCTGTTGCTTAACATTTTTCAATTGCAATATATTGCCTTTACAGTTAAGAAGAATTTACTTAAAAATATAATGAAAACGTTCCTTATGTCCAACAAATGACTCAGAAAAGAGAACCCTTTTAAAAGGGTAAAATATAAGGAACAACTTTCAGTACTGGTAAAAAAATATGACATTTTTACGCTTCATTCTATGTTTACATCTAGGGACTCTTTAAAAAAATGGCATAATTAATCCTTTTATTTTTACTGCTGGTTCATTCGAATTCTCGTGCTGCTACCGGTGTAACCGGTGTCAGATGTTGTAGATTAAATCTCACTTAATAACATGGATTCATTAAGAAAAGGAAGTTTATGTAAATATGCCATCGTCTTGTGAGAGGTTTCGTTTAGCTTAGGGACCTCGCCCAAAGTTATGAATTTCATTTACTTCTCATTCGAGGTTATAACTAAATGTTCAGATCTGGCTAAACGCGATTCCATCGTAAGGCATTTCACATGCATCAATAATAAAAGATACAATTATACCGATACATGTAATATATAAGACAGATGTAAGAAATTAATTTCAAATGGACCAAATCAAAGGTTACTGCACGTTGAAGAAGTCTTTAAGGCCTTACTTTAAAACAAAAAGGATCTATTGAGTAAGCTAGTGTTACCAGTGTATCTCGTAAACTTTCCTTACAGCTATATTAGATAACCGCACTCTATGCGACGCTACGATTGTAAGAGTGATCATGACGATAATGAGGAGGAGAAGATTTCAAACGTATGCATTTCATTTCCAAATTACTAAGTGCTTCTTTGAGCGAGACACGAACAATGTCTTTCACAAACCGAACTACCGCCTCTACTTACCAATCAGATTCCATGTAGGCATGTGTCTGTTCTGTTATGGATCACAGATGACGTTAAAATGTGGTGAGAACTACAGTGTGGCATACGAAGCGCAGTCGAGTCTGGCACTGATCTTCTTAGCACATTTTGACGTCTTCTGTGACTTTTAACAGAACAGACTCACGGCAACATGGAATCTCTTTGTTTTTACAATAAAGAAGCAAGATGTTGTTAATAGTGACGTCATCTATGCATCTGTCTTCTATTAGATCATACATGTAAGGAAGGCCAAATTAACATGCGCATATAACTAAGCATAGTATATAACACAAGATGGACAATCTGAACTAAAAGGATACAAATTAGTTGAGGATTAGCATAATTCCTCATACACTTCTTCATTTTGTTTCACGCCATTTTCTTTCTGAAGCACCATATTGTAATATCCGGGGTTCTCGGGTTCTTCCTGTAACGACTGATACTCAGAAGGAACATGAGACTCCTGGTTCGAAGGCCTGGGTTTGAGTTCCATGTATAAATCTGGGTCTGAAGCGTGCTGATCACGTAGCTGTTGATCAGTTGAAGATTTGACGCCATCAAAGTCAACTTTTTCGTTACCCTGTGTCCTCCTACTAGGAACAGCTCGTCTCCGCTGCCATATCAGCCCACAAATTATAATGAGCAACACGACCACAATACAAGAAAATGCGATTACACTTGCAAGGAAGATGCTTTGTGTATCTGGTGAAAGAAAACAAACGACTTTCAAACCAACTATCAAAC